ATAAAAAATATGATTTCTTATTTTAATTGTAATTTAAATGGTTTATAGGTTTACTAAAAGAATTTATGAATCTGCCAATGAATGGGACCATAAAGCATTTTCAGTGAAATAGTTTGATCTCGGCTGTAACTCCTCAGCGAATGTAGACAAGATAACATTTATGAAATAAATAGATAATAAACAATTCAAGTATAGGTATTACAAGTAGCAATTGCTTTCTTTTCGAGTTTTTCGTGGCAGACTAACGATTTAAATTAAATTTGGAATTAAAAAATGTAATTGTAGAGCGACATCTGTTACCCAACAGCGGAATTAATACATATTAATTAGGAAACTGTAATAGAGCGTTTTCGAGTTATCGAATTAGTAGTTCTGTTATTGAATGATAGATGTCACTGGGTATTTATTTTTGTTAAAGTCCCTAGATTTACAGTTTACAGTTTGACAGCTTGTCACTGCATCTCACCACTTATCCACTTATTTACAAAAATATTGCCGCCTTTGGAGTTGCAAAAATACCAGTAAGAAGGACTTTCGACTCTCAGAGTACCACGAGAAAAAAAAAAGGAATTTTGGCGTAATGTTATCAATAGAACGATATAGTTTTAAATTTCCCGCTTGACTTTCGAGCCAAAATGGCGTCAAACCGCGGTACTTTGTAAATCTAGAAACTTTAAAAATGAATGTATTTGATGTTTCTTTTTAGGAATTCTTTAAAAAACAGATATAACAAAAACAACGTTATAAGGTTGACAATACTTTATTTTAACTATGAAGAACTTTGAAATTCAGCATACTTTTTTGCTAAATAACCTACAGGTTCAGGTTCTTCAACTTGGTCATCTGCATCGATTTCATTGGTGATTTCAACGGTACCGCTTGGAGGAAGCACACATAATTCAATTACCGAAGAATCATCTTGCAGCACAATATCATCTACGGCTTGCTACAAACGTTCAAAAGTTTTACATCTATAAAACATTTTTGGATCCATAACTTCACTATCGTTACAGCTTTTATAATAAAAAAATTCAAATTATATACGGTTCCGCTTATCGGCCTCAAACGAAGACGATAATATATATTGACAGTAAAATAAAACTACGTAAAAAATAGCAATTATTTTTATACTTACTTTTAGAACAATATGTTGTTTGTCTAACACAATATGCAAAAAATAAAATAATAATGTCTGTAGGAAATAAGTTTTTAAAATAATTATAAACACACACTGTGTCACTCAAAAGGCTGTAAAATACTACAAAATTTCAACTGCTACGAAATAAGAGTACAAATCGTTTCATTTGTTTGTTTAGGAGGTGTTATAACGGAAAACACTCATAAAAGCGTTAATATGCCTGCTTTTGCATCCGTCCTCAAATAGGGACGGCCGGCGATAATGGCTTAATTTGAAAATGAAAATGTACGACTATGCCTGATTAAGCCAAAATTAGCAAACATACAAGAACTGCCTCGGCCGCAAGCGACCTCGGTTCAACTTATAAAGGAAATTGTATGATATTGCCTGTTAAACCAATATTGCTGAACATATATTAACTGCCTCGGCCGCAAGCGACCTCGACTTAAGTTCGAAATGAAGGTGTATGATATTGCCTGATTAAGTCAAAATTAGGAAACATACAAGGACTGCCTCGGCCGCAAGCGACCTCGGCTTAAGTTCGAAATGAAGGTGTATGATATTGCCTGATTAAGTCAAATCCAAGACATTTTAACTGCCTCGGCCGCAAGCGACCTCGGCTTAAGTAGGAAACGACGATGTATCATATTGGCTAACTAAACCAAAATTAGAAAATATAAATAGACTGCCTCGGTCGCAAGCGACCTCGGCTAATTACATAAAAGATGATATTTGAAAAGATAATAAAACAAAATTTTCTTCTTATTATTATTATTAAAGCATATACATATAATAAGTCTTATTGTAATAACTAACCTTTAAGCTTATTTTTCACCATCCAATATAACATTGACATAAATTTTCAGAAAATAATTTTCGTTAATAACATTTTTTAAAATATCCGCTAGGTTTCGCTATAAAGTGATATGGAAAACCAGTTTTTTAGGTTATGTTAATAATTATAGGTTGTATCGGAAAATGTTTCAAATAATATTTGTTCAGAATTCGATGGAAAATAATTTTTGTTAATAACATTTTTTTAAATATCCGCTAGGTTTCGCTGTGTACTGGTATAAAAAGCAGTTTTTTNGTTCGAAATGAAGGTGAATGATATTGCCTGATTAAGTCAAAGCCAAGACATATTAACTGCCTCGGCCGCAAGCGACCTCGGCTCAACTTATAAAGGAAATTGTATGATATTGCCTATTAAACCAATATTGCTGAACATATATTAACTACCTCGGCCGCAAGCGACCTCGGCTTAAGTTGGGAATAAAAATGTATAACATTGCCTGATTAAGCCAAAATTAGCAAACATACAAGAACTGCCTCGGCCGCAAACGACCGCGGTTCAACTTATAAAGGAAATTGTATGATATTGCCTGTTAAACCAATATTGCTGAACATATATTAACTGCCTCGGCCGCAAGCGACCTCGTCTTAAGTTCGAAATGAAGGTGTATGATATTGCCTGATTAAGTCAAAGCCAAGACATATTAACTGCCTCGGCCGCAAGCGACCTCGGCTTAAGTTGGGAATAAAAATGTATAACATTGCCTGATTAAGCCAAAATTACCAAACATACAAAGACTGCCTCGGCCGCAAGCGACCTCGGCTTAAGTTCGAAATGAAGGTGAATGATATTGCCTGATTAAGTCAAAGCCAAGACATATAAACTGCCTCGGCCACAAGCGACCTCGGCTTAAGTTAAAAATGAAAATGTATGACCTTGTCTGATTAAGCCAAAATTAGCAAACATACAAGGACTGCCTCGGCCGCAAGCGACCTCGGCTTAACTTATAAAGGAAATTGTATGATATCGCCTATTAAACCCGTATTGCTGAACATATACTAACTGCCTCGACCGCAAGCGACCTAGGCTTAAGTTAGAAATGAAAATGTATGACCTTGCTTGATTAAGTGAAAATTAGCAAACATACAAGGACTGCCTCGGCCGCAAGCGACCTCGGCTTAAGTTCGAAATGAAGGTGTATGATATTGCCTGATTAAGTCAAATCCAAGACATTTTAACTGCCTCGGCCGCAAGCGACCTCGGCTTAAGTAGGAAACGACGATGTATCATATTGGCTAACTAAACCAAAATTAGAAAATATAAATAGACTGCCTCGGTCGCAAGCGACCTCGGCTAATTACATAAAAGATGATATTTGAAAAGATAATAAAACAAAATTTTCTTCTTATTATTATTATTAAAGCATATACATATAATAAGTCTTATTGTAATAACTAACCTTTAAGCTTATTTTTCACCATCCAATATAACATTGACATAAATTTTCAGAAAATAATTTTTGTTAATAACATTTTTTAAAATATCCGCTAGGTTTCGCTATAAAGTGATATGGAAAACCAGTTTTTTAGGTTATGTTAATAATTATAGGTTGTATCGGAAAATGTTTCAAATAATATTTGTTCAGAATTCGATGGAAAATAATTTTTGTTAATAACATTTTTTTAAATATCCGCTAGGTTTCGCTGTGTACTGGTATAAAAAGCAGTTTTTTAGGTTATGTTCTTAATTATTGGTTGTAGCCGAAAATGTTTTAAATAATACTTGTTCAGAATTGGATGGAAAATAATTTTTGTTAATAACATTTTTCAAAATATTCCCTAGGTTTCGCTATGTACTGGTATGGAAAACCAGTTTTTTAGGTTATGTTAATAATTATAGGTTGTATCGGAAAATGTTTCAAATAATATTTGTTCAGAATTCGATGGAAAATAATTTTTGTTAATAACATTTTTTTAAATATCCGCTAGGTTTCGCTGTGTACTGGTATAAAAAGCAGTTTTTTAGGTTATGTTCTTAATTATTGGTTGTAGCGGAAAATGTTTTAAATAATACTTGTTCAGAATTGGATGGAAAATAATTTTTGTTAATAACATTTTTCAAAATATTCGCTAGGTTTCGCTATGTACTGGTATGGAAAACCAGTTTTTTAGGTTATGTTAATAATTATAGGTTGTATCGGAAAATGTTTCAAATAATATTTGTTCAGAATTCGATGGAAAATAATTTTTGTTAATAACATTTTTTTAAATATCCGCTAGGTTTCGCTGTGTACTAGTATAAAAAGCAGTTTTTTAGGTTATGTTCTTAATTATTGGTTGTAGCGGGAAATGTTTTAAATAATACTTGTTCAGAATTGGATGGAAAATAATTTTTGTTAATAACATTTTTTTAAATATCCGCTAGGTTTCGCTGTGTACTAGTATAAAAAGCAGTTTTTTAGGTTATGTTCTTAATTATTGGTTGTAGCCGAAAATGTTTTAAATAATACTTGTTCAGAATTGGATGGAAAATAATTTTTGTTAATGACATTTTTCAAAATATTTGCTAGGTTTCGCTATGTACTGGTATGGAAAACCAGTTTTTTTAGGTTATGATCTTAATTATTGGTTGTAGCCGAAAATGTTTCAAATAATATTTGTTCAGAATTCGATGAAAAATAATTTTTGTTAATAAAATTTTTTTAAATATCCGCTATGTTTCGCTGTGTACTGGTATAAAAAGCAGTTTTTTAGGTTATGTTCTTAATTATTGGTTGTAGCGGAAAATGTTTTAAATAATACTTGTTCAGAATTGAATGGAAAATAATTTTTGTTAATAACATTTTTCAAAATAATCGGCCGCAAGCGACCTCGGCTTAAGTTAAAAATGAAAATGTATGACCTTGCCTGATTAAGCCAAAATTAGCAAACATACAAGGACTGCCTCGGCCGCAAGCGACCTCGGCTTAAGTAGGAAACGACGATGTGTGATATTGGCTGATTAAACCAAAATTAGAAAATATAAATGGACTGCCTCGGCTAATTACATAAAAGATGATATTTGAAAAGATAATAAAACAAAATTTTCTTCTTATTATTATTATTAAAGCATATATAATAAGTCTTATTCTAATAACTAACGTTTAAGCTTATTTTTTACCAAAACGGACACCCTCCAATATAACATTGACATAAATTTTCATTATCAGTAGCTTGCTGTATTAATCTATCAACTTGCATTTCAATCGTTAAAGTTTCATCAATACTAAAATCATTACCGGTTAATTTATCTTTAACCCTATTAACGATAGCAACCGCTTTTTTATTTTTAACCACTTCCGGTTCAGAACCATCCACCATAGCCTCCGGCGATGATAACCCAATTTTATTCATATTAACACTCAACGAATTAACCAAATCTTGTTCTTGCGAAAATCCGGTTGAAATCGAACCAACATCGTTAGTATTCGATCTATTTAACCGCCCTGTATCGACTAATCTCCAATTTAAAAGTGGGTCATAAACGAAAGCTTCCAAAACGGCCATAACGCTATCTTTATTTCTTCTTAAAACGCTCATAACGCTCTCACAAGTTCTTCGGTAAGTTCCTTCGATTCCGGTCACTTCCATCGCGTTTATTAACATTCTTGTTAATCGGAAGGGGATTTTTTCGGAAAACTTTTCCCTAGTCATCGCCACTTCGAAGCAATCCCCGAAATCGATGTGTAAAATCTTTCCTGATAATCGATCCAACATTAAATTCGATGGATGTCGATCTCCCAATCCCAAAATATACCCGACCATTGACATAACAGCTAACGATCTTGTACAATTCGTCCTTCGATCAAACCACACTTCCGAAGATGGACTTTTTAGCCATAATAAACGTGCTAAATCATCGCCGTGAGTATGCTCGAGAGCTTGTTCGAAAGCCTCGACTTTTTGTATTACGGTTAAATGATCGTAATCGGGTGCCATTCTCAACATGATTCGATGTTCGATGTTTAATAAAATCTTTTTCTTTTCGCGATAATCTTTGATGAGGGTGTGTAATGTATCGCAATGTGGTACCCACCCGATTAAACCGGAATTCGTACTTAATGGAATCACCGCGTAACGTTGTATCGTGAGGTTGCAACGGACTGTGTCGGGATCTTTTAATAATAAAGTATTTACAAGGCCGAATATTTGCATTACTCGCTCGTCTTGGCGTAAATCTTCGTGTCCTTTTAAAAGGAACATGTAGTCTTTACCGTTTGAACCGCGAATTAATAGTTTTCTTGGACGTTGTTTTGATGTTATGACCTATAAGAAAATTGAGACAACCTCAATTTATTAAAAATTAATTACAAATTATTTTTAATTATGTTTATGCCTCGCTCAAGAACGAATATAAATACTTTAATGAAATAACATGGAAAGTTTACTACAAAAACAGTTATCTGGGACTAATTCAAGATAAATACACCTCCTAGGAAAATTATTATAACTGCCTTTATTACAAAAATATAGAATTAACTAAACTATATATTATGGTTTTACTCTATGTTGATGATTTAATGGCGATGCTGGTTGCATAAACGTAAGTGAGCCGAAAGCTGCGACTGCGCAGTCAAAAAAAAAAAGAACGACGCTCTCCGTTAGAACAAAAAACCGTTAGATCGTTTGTAATAGTTTTGTGATGTAAACTACGCCGAACAATAATAACTAGTTTATTTAGATATAATATATGTAGTGTTAAATACAATAAAACCAGTGTTAAGGGCGAATTCTGGATATCATTTCATCAGAGAAGAATCAAAGATGGTTTCTGAAAAACATTTGTCCTGGTCCACTTATGAAAAGAAGCAAACCAGAAATGTAAAAGTGGGAATTAAAAAGATGCATAAAAGCTGAGATGTTAATGATATCAAAGATGAAGTATTAAAGCACAATTATAACATTTGAAAAGTAACCCAATCCCTTATACATCTTGGATTTTGCACTGTCAAGATGTAAAAAGAATCCATGAAGTAACAAACATATTAGGAATGCGAGTGCAAAAGGTGTCAAGGTTGGAGCCACACCAAAGCTTACTGCCACAAAAATCCGAGATATGCACTGATAAACGCTGGGCAGCTAAATGTTACAACTGTGAAGACAATCATATAGCAAACTACAGAGGATGCATTGTGATTAAGTAACTACAAGCCATCAGGAATAAGAAACAAGAAGCGATTCAAAAAAGAAATAAAAATGTCTAAAAAGCAGCAATTAAAAATAATGCTGTGGAATTTCAATGGTCTGCGACAGCATCAAACTACACCACTACTTAAAGCAGTAATACTTAAATAAAACAATATTGATATAATGCGGCTCGATGTGGAAGTGCAATTATCATTAAAAGTAAGGTATTAATAGACCACTATTTAAACAATACAATTAGTATCGAACAACATCAAACTACAGTGATAAAAGTTCAAACCGCTAATGGCTTAATATCTGTAGCAGTACGTACATACCGTCGAGACATAATTTCAAAAGAGGAGATTATCAGAAAATTCTACCGCATCTTGAAACCAAATTTATACTTGGAGGAGACTTTAAATATATGAAGAGTCAAGAGGAAAAACGATGAAAGTCCATTTTAAGACAAAAGTAAACTAATAGTGCCATTTATTGGTTTGTGAGGTATACTATCTAGAAAGACTATCTATGCGTTGATAGCATAGCAAGCAGTTTCATTTTGGAATTACAGAGCGTTCGACTTTTGAAAAACTCAAACGTCTTTTGTGTGAAGAACCGGTACTAAGAATTTTTAATTATAATGATGAAACAGAGTTACACGCTAATCAAAACGGATTTGGGGCGATATTATTACAGAGAAGCGGTGAAAATGGTGAACTGCACCCTGTCTATTATTGGAGCAGAAATGCACAAACAAAATACCACAGCTACGAATTGGAAGTTTTGGCAATTGTGGAGGCTTTGAAGAAATTTCGTGTTTACCTACTTGGAATACCGTTTAAAATAGAACAAACTGTGCGGCGTTTACAGTCACTATGAACAAAAATGATCTAGATACTAGAGTAACTCGATGGGCTTTATTGTTGAAAGAGTTTAACTTTAGCGAATGAAACATTGTGACGCATTAAGCAGAAATCCATTATTAGATAGATGATTCAAAACGAGATGATCAACCCTATGAAGACTATAACCTAAGTAAAGGCATACTGCATAAAAATTAAAATGGGTTATAACTTATCGTGATTCTTACTAATATGCAACATCAAATTATTAAGAATGGTCATTTCATTATAAAGAAGACAAAAGATTTGATTGAACGAGAATACTATAACGAAACCATCACTAGTAATACGAAGAGTCATTTGAGGTGAATTTCTAGCGGGGTGATCGAGATGTAGGAAAGATTCGGGAAGACTCGAAACCCTTCGCGTGTACTCGGTCAAAAGCTCGGGTCGATCGATAGAAGCAGATGAGAGAAGAACAAGTAGAGAGGCAGAAACGCTCTAGAAAACGTTAGACAACACAGAAAAACATGAGAAAGAAGAACAAGGGTACTGAACACCAATAAATAAAATAAATTGCAACCTAATTCCTAACAAGGTAATGATAGAAGTGAAAATCAACGATTATTTTTTGCAAATGGAAGTAGACTCAGGAGCGGGAGCAAGTATTTTTGGAGACAAACTACCAGAGTTAAGTCCTTCATGAGGACTTCATGTGACAAAAGAAAAATATGGATTCAAATCAGAAAACATTAAATATCTGGGATTTCAAATAACAGAAAAAGGAATTAGCCCTACAGAAATAAAATACGTGCAATACAGAACGCACCTGAACTAACTAACAAAACAAGGGTTTGGTAAATTTCTACCATATCTTTCTGAAAAATAAAACAAATGTTGCTGAACCGTTACATAAACTTCTACATAAAGACAAAACTTTTGAAAAAGCTTCCAATAAACAAATTGAACCTATCTTAGTACACGGCGATGAAAACAAACCATTATTCATCACGGTTAATGCAAGTCCATATGGCGCGGGATGCGTTTTGAGTCAAAGGGACAACGGGGGCGAAGAAACTGTTTCGCTTATAACAGTCGTACATTAACAACTACGAAAAGAAATTTTGCACAAATAGATCGAGAAGCTTTGACATTGGTGGCATCCGTTAAAAATTTAAGGAAGAATATTCAAGCTCAGGACAGACCATAAGAATCTACTGGGTATTTTGGGGAAAAATAAACCTATTCCAGAAATCTTATCGCCTCTCTATTTATTTATATGAACTTTTTGTGCTAATTTTAAAAGATCAGACTGTTAAAGTCCTGCTACAAAAACCTGAAACACCCTGTATAAGTTACAGTATACACTGAGAAAAGATTTAGCAAATGCTGATGCGCTGAGCAGGTTACCACTCAAAGTTGAATGTTGAAAACCACTACGAGCATTGGAAGTACTGATGTTAGAAAACTTACCTGAAAAAATGATAGAAGGTATAGCAATTGCAAGAGAGAAAGAATTATCATGTTACATGGATTGTATTCTATGGGGAACACGGGTTGTGATTCCACCAGGAGGAAGGAAAGAGATACTAGAACTACTCCATGCGTCACATCCAGGAATCGTGAAGATGAAAGCCCTTGCAAGATCATATATTTGGTGGCCAGAGATAAATAAGCAGATTGAGGAAAAAGCTAATACGTGTATTGTTTGCCAAGAAACTAAAGGTGATTTTTCAAAACGGCTTGTTGCATTAAAAAGAGGATACTTTAATTAATAATTGGTGATATTTCCACAAGGATCCTTCAAGAAATAAATTTTATAGCGAATTTTGAAAGTTATCGATGAAAATTGCAACATCGAATATTTTATCAAAACTTTAAATATTGTTGTTTTCTCAAAAACTAAAAGTTATTTTTCAAAACGGGTTGGTTCATTGGAAAGAGGACACTTTTATTAACACTTTGGGAAATTTTCATACTCATATTCCAAGAAATGGATTTTATACGAATTTTTAAAACTTAATCGGCGAAAATTGCAAAATTCGAAAAAATTGTCGATTATTTCAAAAATTTATTTCTCAAGAACTAAAAGTGATTTTTCAAAACGGCTTTTTGCATTAAAAAGAGGATACTTTAATTAATAATTGGTGATATTTCCACAAGGATCCTTCAAGAAATTAATTTTATAGCGAATTTTGAAAATTATCGATGAAAATTGCAACATCGAAAATTTTATCAAAACTTCAAATATTGTTTTCTCAAAAACTAAAAGTTATTTTTCAAAACGGGTTGGTTCATTGGAAAGAGGACACTTTTATTAACACTTTGGGAAATTTTCATACTCATATTCCAAGAAATGGATTTTATACGAATTTTTAAAACTTAATCGGCGAAAATTGCAAAATTCGAAAAAATTGTCGATTATTTCAAAAATTTATTTCTCAAGAACTAAAAGTGATTTTTCAAAACGGCTTTTTGCATTAAAAAGAGGATACTTTAATTAATAATTGGTGATATTTCCACAAGGATCCTTCAAGAAATTAATTTTATAGCGAATTTTGAAAATTATCGATGAAAATTGCAACATCGAAAATTTTATCAAAACTTCAAATATTGTTTTCTCAAAAACTAAAAGTTATTTTTCAAAACGGGTTGGTTCATTGGAAAGAGGACACTTTTATTAACACTTTGGGAAATTTTCATACTCATATTCCAAGAAATGGATTTTATACGAATTTTTAAAACTTAATCGGCGAAAATTGCAAAATTCGAAAAAATTGTCGATTATTTCAAAAATTTATTTCTCAAGAACTAAAAGTGATTTTTCAAAACGGCTTTTTGCATTAAAAAGAGGATACTTTAATTAATAATTGGTGATATTTCCACAAGGATCCTTCAAGAAATTAATTTTATAGCGAATTTTGAAAATTATCGATGAAAATTGCAACATCGAAAATTTTATCAAAACTTCAAATATTGTTTTCTCAAAAACTAAAAGTTATTTTTCAAAACGGGTTGGTTCATTGGAAAGAGGACACTTTTATTAACACTTTGGGAAATTTTCATACTCATATTCCAAGAAATGGATTTTATACGAATTTTTAAAACTTAATCGGCGAAAATTGCAAAATTCGAAAAAATTGTCGATTATTTCAAAAATTTATTTCTCAAGAACTAAAAGTGATTTTTCAAAACGGCTTTTTGCATTAAAAAGAGGATACTTTAATTAATAATTGGTGATATTTCCACAAGGATCCTTCAAGAAATTAATTTTATAGCGAATTTTGAAAATTATCGATGAAAATTGCAACATCGAAAATTTTATCAAAACTTCAAATATTGTTTTCTCAAAAACTAAAAGTTATTTTTCAAAACGGGTTGGCTCATTGGAAAGAGGACACTTTTATTAACACTTTGGGAAATTTTCATACTCATATTCCAAGAAATCGATTTTATACGAATTTTTAAAACTTAATCTGCGAAAATTGCAAAATTTCAATTTTCAAGAATTTTCAAAATGGCTTTTTGCATTAAAAATTCTTTTTGAAGAATCAATAAAAAGCCAAACTTTTGAACCAAACCAGGAATATCACAACAATTAACCAACTCACGTTCTTGTTTGAAATAGTCAGTAAATTCACGATCTCTAAATATTGATAAAAAGATATTCCGTCAAAAAGCAGCCAGTAGCTTTTTTTCTTTTAGTTTAGAATCCAAGAATTCAGCATTTTCCTTGGTAAGTCTCAAGTCTCTCATCAAACAAACCATCAAGCTCAGACTGAGCAAAAAGTTGTGAGATGGCATGATCTGAAGGATCTTAGAATTCACATCAGATTCACTAGAGCTCATCTCACCTAGCCTTGTTGGAGATAACACATTTTGTTATGATTTAGGAACCCCAGATTCAGCACCCAAAAATCAATAAAGATCACCTTTCAGTTTCAAAAAAATTTTTGGTCGCAACCATGCCATAATGAGATATTTACTATTACTAGGTGTTATATAATTTTGCTAAGCATAATATTAAAAAAAAATATCTTACCTCTAATGAAGGATGAATAAACGCAATGGTAACTGGTTCTTGTCCAGGACAATAACTTCCAGGAATCGCCAATTCCAAATCCTTACAAAACAATAAATTCAACGAAACATATTGAAGCTCCAAAGAAGTTAACTGAGGTAATTGTCGTGTTATTTTCCGAAAAACGTGATAATACAAATCCCAAGCGTTACTCAAATACCCGCGATCTTTAGTTTTCTTGTATTGTTCGCACCATTCTTGAGCTTCGTTCAAATCTCTTCCATAAGCTTGACAAAAACTTTTCTCTTTCAAAGTTTGCGCGCCTCGCGCTAATTTATTGTGTAAAGGATCTAAAATTTTTAGCATCCCTTCGACGTCGTCTTCCCCAAAAAATAACCTCGAAGCTTCCTCAAGCCCTTCGTGCCACATTTCATGCCATAAAATCGCCACTCTAATTAATTCGTCAGAAACCATTTTGGCTTGATTAACCAATTTAGGCCATAAATCGGCCATCGCGTCTAAAATTTTATCAGCAGCTTTTTTTCTCGTTATACTTTGACTCTTTGTAGCCACTGTTAATGGATAAATTAAAGCTTGCGGGTGAGATTTCCCAATAACGATTAATAACTGGTGTATTAACCTGGTTACTAAAGCTCTGGGGGAATCAATTCTCGCGATTAATTGCGGGATAACTTGAAGCCAAGTGTTCTTTTCGATTTCGAATAATCCATCGCTAATCGCTTGATAAACATCGGGGTAATTCCCGTATTCGAACCAAAGGGTTAATAATCTGAGGGTATCTTGTAGGGAGCTTCCTTTGGATAAATTAATTGATTTAAAAAATCCTGTAACGGCGTTTACGGTGTATTTAATTAAATTAATCGTGCGATCTTGTTTCAAATTTGATCTGGAAGATTCGTGTTCTTGTTTGTAAAATAACACAGTTTCGTAATTCATATAAGCCCAAGAATGCCACGCTTTGTACCAATAAGGATCGTGTTCTGTCGCTTTATGATAACGTTCTAAAATGACGGGAATCGATTGTTCTTGGATACCCTGTATGGATTGCATCCAAGATCCGAGTTTTAAATAACACCGCGCTAATAAACGTTTCGATTCGTCCATATTCGTGTTTTCCCCAAAACTGTATTGTTTTGAATAAACCGTTAAAAATTCGTCTAAACGGTGATAAGCTTCCTTTTTCTTTTCCGCCATCCATAAATGCTTTGTGTAAGCAAAAGTGACTTCTGGGAGGTTGTAAGGGAGGGCTATATCTGGGTGATCCTCAGGGTTATAATTTAAAAGCATGACTAACGTTTTATGGGATAACATCTAAAAGGTAATTCAAAAATATTAAAATTAAATTATTTTTTTTTTTTTTGATAAAATCTTACTAATGAGCCATTTTTGCGGCATAACGAAGCGTATTTTAACCAAGTATGCATGTCTTCGTGCGGGGTTAAAACTAATGAGTGAATTTGGATGATTCTTTGCCAATCTTCGACGATTCTTTGTCCCGCTTGGAGGCGTTGCCACCACATCGTTCTTATCGTTTCGCGACGCTCTGGTACTAATTTGTATTGGATTACTTCCTCTAATTCCGCGAGCATTTGCACCATAATCATCGCGCCGTAAGCTCTTTGATAAGATTCGCTTGCCATTGCTGTTAATTCGTTGTCTAATAAATCTCGGGCTGAATCGATAAATTTTTGAGCCTACAGAAGAAAATTAATATAATTCTTAACACTGAAATTGCGGGAAGATTTGGAAGACCAAATTAATTATAAGACTAGATTTAGCGAACTATGTATTCTGGAATCCTTATTGGATTAAAATGAGGTTGCAAAAGATTGCCAAAGAGGTTAGCCAAATAATGTAATAAGACACCAAGGGTAGATGATATCACCAAGGGTAGTACCAAGGTGTGCTTTGATCTACCACAGATTAGATTTTTACACTCTTCATAGACTTTCAGCAAGCTTATGACACTATGGATCTAGAAGTACTATATAGAACCATGCAGGAAATGGGAATTCTTTTTAATTTAGTAAATTTGACATGTATAGTGATAAGCAACTCGAAGGTTTGGGTTGGGTTGGATAGGATTTTGAGTGTTCTTGAAAAAATTTTGGAGTAGCTCATAAACATATACAGGAAGAGGAGTGGAACGGTAGATGCTGTGATACACCAAAAAAGAGAGCAGAAGAAAACTTCCTTAACACATAGCATGGCATGCATTTAACTCAGCACCATGGGGGAAGATAATAGAGGCGATGGAAGAGGGAGGATTCTCAAGAGGAATAAAAAGAATTGTCAGATCATATCTATCAGAAAGGAAGATAATACTTCCAAGAGGAATAGAAAAGAATATGACATGTGGTGTACCTCAAAGTTCAGTCATAGAAGCGACGTTATGGAACGTCTTCTATGATAGTATTCTGAGACTGAAAATGGAAGAAGGCGCATCTATGATTGCATATGCAGATGATTTAGCAGTGATTGCATACAAAGAATTCCAGAAAAGATGAGAGATTTGGGACTAGACATGGCGGAAGAGAAATCAGGAGTTGTTATATTGGAGGGTAGAAGGAAAATTAAGAGCATTGAGAAGAGTTGGATAGGAAATGAGAAAGAGCTCGTAGGCAGTGAAATATCTGGATGTGTACCTAGATAAGGATTTACGTATGATCGAACATCTGAAGAAAGTCGCAGAGACGCCGAGCCTGGCATATAGGAACTTGTTACGCTTAATGCCGAAGAAGAGAGATCCGAGACAGGCAAAGAAAAGACTGTTAGGAACCGTGATGACTCTGTATGCAGCTCCACCGTGGGAGATAACTATGAAACACAAGAAATATGTAGGAAAGATAAGAACAATAGAAAGAAAGACTCCAATAAAATCTGTAGGCTTAGGAACGAAGTAGAAATTTGAAGGAAAAGGATAAGAATAAGACGGAGAATAGACGGATACTTGGTGAGAAATGACAGGAAAGATGGAGCAAATATACAGGGTGGACAAGCAATTTTATAAGAGACGTTTAGTGGGCAACAAAAAGGGCCACAAGTAGATTATTACACAACACAAGCCATGACGTGCCCTGGAATTTTTGCAACATACTTAAAAAATATCAAGAAAATAAAGCCTGATGATTGCTGGTTTGGATGTGAAAAACAGGACACGCCAAACCACACGTTTTTTGAATACCATAAGTTTGAAGGAGAGGAATACGAATTGACACCGTAGCAGAACTACTGGCCGGAGACGAAGAAGAAAGAAAAGAGGTAATGAGTTCCTTGCGAAGGGTGATGATCGAGAAGGAGATAGAGGAGAAGAGAAGAGAGAAAGAGAGCAAGGAAGGAAGTACATAGATGAGGAAATACCCCCAGCCCAGGAAACTCAAGAGATATGGAATGATGGAAGAATGTGAGAGGTCCTCTGGAGAGGAAGAAGTAGGAGAGAAAAGGAAAGCCCACACATCCCACAGCCGGGTATGTAGATAAACTAATTAGAGTCAAGTATGTACGACAAAATGATATTTAAAAAGTTGTTTGTTTTCATGTGAAATGGTGAACGAGAGGGACACGAAGGAGAAGAACAGCGAGTGGGAATTACACCCATGGACCGGAATTTCCGGATTATTTAGTGGGTCGGTCCTCATCCCCACATTACCCAGCCGACCAACACCTTAGTTTGGAGATTTTCCCCAACCTCGTTAAAAATAAAAAAAGGTTCACCATCATTATTATTAAAGGGGTCTCTGTAAGCTCTTTCCCACAATACTAGAAAAAGCTCCGGGAAGTGATAATATAACGAATGAAATTCTTAAGGCGTGAGTCGAAACGGATCCAGAAGCCTTCTTACAAATATACAACGATTGTTTAGAAACCGGAAACTTCCCGAAGATCTGGAAGATAGCCAAATTAGTGTTGGTGGAGAAGCCCTTGAAACCGGGCCAACCACAGTCATATCGCCCCTATACCTTTTGAGCGCTGTTGGAAAACTGCGATAAAGGTTAATAAATAGTAGACTTATCACTTACAAACAAAGGATTTAGCGTCATGATACTACACTGTTGGAAATAATTCACGAGCACACCCTATATAATCTGAACGCGCGAAGATAAATCCATAATATTTGCGGAGCACAAAGGTTTACTGTAGACGAGTTTATTCAGGGAGTTTCGAGTTATTCCGTCGCGGCATTGTTGACTGAGCCGCCCTTCTAAGTGGAACATTCCGTCGCTATGGAGACCGAAGTGGATGGAAAATACCGGTCGTTTTTAGTGTGGTGTGAGGAACCAGATTGTTATCGTACTCTGTGCGCAATGGATGGGCGATCGCATTACTTAAGTGAGTTTGAGCGAAGAATGTTTAAGGGTATGCACATTGAGGGTGTATCGTTCTGTGAAATTGCGCGTCGTCTCGAGCGGTCGTTATCAGCAGTGCAACGGGCATGGCGATAATGGTCTGAGGTAGGGCATAGGTACCTTCAGCCGTGGCCAGAACGGACCTGCTCGTCCCCAGCACACGAGGATCGCGCTCTTGTGCTCAGCACTTTAGCGTCGTGTGTGTCCTCCTCAAGGCAACTTGGAGCTGTTTGGCCACCGGCAGAGGAAGGCGCACACATTACGCGAACTATACGGCGGCGTTTGGTAGATAGTGGACTGTGCGCGCGTCGTGGGATACAGCAGATTCCAGTAACACCCGAGCACCGCAGCATACGTCACGAGTGGGTCGACGCTAGGCATTAGTAGATTGTCGAGTAGAGGGACATTTTGTTTTCCGACGAATCAAGATTCGAATTGAGCACCGGTGATACGCGAATTTTAGTTCGTCGGAGCCGTGGTGATCGTCTACTCAAGCAGTGCGTGCAAGAACGCCCTATCCACCGACAACCGAGCATTATGGTATGGGGTGCAATTACATATGGTGGACGTACACGTCTGCTGCGTGTATAGCAGACCATGACGGGTCAACGATACGTAGATGAGGTGCTACGGTCCGTTGTGCTTCCCTACGTTCGGCGACTCCCAGGTCTGCTATACATGCACGACAACGTACGACAGCACATCGGGCGTGTTGTACAGACCTTTGTGGAAGAGCACCATATACGAATGCTTCCATGGCTAGCTCGGTTTCCGCATCTGAATCCGATCAAACATGTTTGGGACATGACTGGTCAGAGACTTCTACGTTATCCGGCTTCCTCGGCTAACGTTGAGGAGCTATGGAGACGAGTTGAGGTGGCATGGTTGGCCATCCGGCTCGCTACAATACAGCGACTTATAGACTCCATGCCACGTCGTGTAGCGATGGTACGCGAAGCTCACGGGGGATACTCTCGCTATTAATGTTTCTCCTCCCAGCAGAGTTGTGCCGCTCTCCATGTGAGAGTAAGTTACACTACTTTAGTACTACTTCCATACCAAATTTTATTGCGCTAGACACACGCGTTCAGATTATACAGGGTGTGCTCGTGAATTATTTCCAACAGTGTATTAGACATCAGAAACGCCTTCAACTCAGTGCGGAGTACCGATACCCATAATAAGTCTACTCTATACTTATTTATCGCAAAGAACAATCCTCCTCCCAAACGGAGAGAGAAGACAGATGAGTGGAACATCTATTATAACAAAATACTAATTTTAAAACAGGTGGAAGTGTTGACCGCGATGGGCTACGCTGATGATCTCGCATTGGTGATAGAAGGCAAGACAAAAGACACAATAATCCAAAAAGCTGAACACTCAATGGCCTTAAGGTCGAGGAATCAAGGACAGAAATGATAATCTTGGAGGGCAAAAGGAAGCTAAACGACATAAGAAGTCTGTGAAGTATCTGTGGTTACTCTTGATAAAGGTCTAAGGATTACCACGCACATCAGGATGATATCGGAAAAGGCATAAAAAAGGAAGAGTACCAGCATCAACGGTCAATTCCGTGGCCCTATACGCTGCCCCTGCTTGGAATAGTGCTCTAAAGCATAAAAAGTACGTTAACATCCTCCGTACTAAAGAACGAAAGTACGCTATCGCCATTACATCGGCATATCGGTTGGCCCACTGGAAGCATTCCAAGCCTAACTGGACGGAGAAAGGCAGTACAAACAGAGAGACTCACCAAAAATTGGTAGAGCAGTGGCAGACGACGTGGCAGAAGTATTAGGGATAGGCTAGCGTGTTCATCAAGGATGTTTCGACGTGACAGAAAAGAGGACCAGTTTGAGGGAGCGAGAAGACGGACGGAACATAGAATAGGTACCGTCATTGACAAGAATACGGTTGCAGACATCCTGATAAAAGGTGGGAATGAAACGGAGACGTTGGTAACCTTCCTAAGGGATACTATGAAGATAAAGGCGCCGGAAGAACAGAAAAAGGAGAGGAGGAAGGGAGTAACGATGGGTTACTCCCCCTCACTCAGGTACGTACTAAGCATAGAATATTTCAAAAAGTAACGCATTTCTTGTCCCACAAATGACGTGAGCGTTACAAGGAAGAGACACGGTGAAAACAAGCAACGAAGACAATTGGGGAAGATGATGAAATGAAGAGTGAGTAGAGTGAAGAGAAAGGATGTGTGATAAAAAGAATGATACAAAAAGTAATGGATTTTTTCTTTCCTCGTACTGCCAAAATGAACACAAGTGATGCAAGGAGGACACAAGGGCCGAGTTAGAGAACGTGACACGGTAGAAGAATGAGGAGAGGTTTTCCCCCCTTCGTAACCGTGCGAAAGTATTTCAAAAAGTGACAGATTCATTTTTCACCCATAATGCGGATACCAAAAAGAAACTTCGAGACAAGATTGGAAGAAAGAAAGAAGACTTTCAATAAAGAAGGAGTAATGCCATTCGACAAGTATACCCAAGGATGGAGAAGGCTAACTCTGATGAAATTCCTTTCTGGCGGTTCGGGTGTCGGAGAGGGCTCACCCCACATTATTTGACCACTCAAGATCATTGGCAAGTTGTCTATTTGTGTGCAGAAAACGTTTTGAAATCAGGAAAGGGTTGGGCTTACAACAAGGCGATGGATCTCACTCATTAATAAGTTGCAAATAGACCAGAAGATGACATCGTCATAGCGGGAACATCAAAGCAAGGAACACTTTCTTTTCAGTGGGTTGGTATTCACTTTTCTTTCCATATTTGACAGATTAGCTAATAGAAAGCAAACAATAGAAACATTCTGCTGATATAGCATCATTTCCTGTAGCTTTGTTATTTTTTAGTTTGCGGATAGCTCATGACACTTTTTTCACTAGGGATTCAGCAATAAGATATTTATCGCCTGACTTTGTCTGCCTGCACATTCAACAGCCCATCAAAATACATATCTTCAATATATTTATGGACCATTACAATTTTGAAATGGTTCATCATGTTAAATATTTTGGAGGCTACAATCACCTATGAGAACAACATAACACAAGAGATCTTTGGGATGTCAGAGAAAATATTGAAGGATTTCCAAAACAATATTGGCTGCTGCCAGAGACGATATTGACGCTGTAATGGATATAGAGAGGAATGATGTTGAAGAAATGTTTTTTGATAGCAGGAATAACATTAAAAGCTTTATAGAAAGATGTCCGAGACAATGTCGAGAATTATCGAAGATGAAATTGATTGCTGTCCAAGATGATATTGGGAGTATTCAGGAGAGGTATTAGGTGATGTCCAGAACAATGTTAACAGTAGCCAGAGATCATATTGAGAGATGTGCGGAATAATGTTGTTGATTATGTTATTGAAGGATGTTCAGGGCGTTGTCAAGATTTGTCAGAGACTATAATGACTGCTGAGACGAAGACCAACTCCATTGTTAATAACCTACATATGCCATAAAGTTAAAATTCCCAATTTGACGTTTTTGGACAACTTTTTTTAACAAATCAAAATAAATACAACAAATGGAGAAAACCTTTTCATACAAAAAACATAGCAAATTAACACGAAAAACATCTCCCATATTCACTTTTATCTCATCGCTAATTCTTGGAAACGTAGATTATGTAATATTTGAAAATCATGAATTTGGCGTTTTCAACATCAAATTGGGTAACAACTCAAAAATGAATGGAGGTGGGAAAAACTTTATATACAAAAAAGTACCATATTAACTTGTAGAGTATGTTTTATAAACGATTTCATCTCCTCATTCATTGTTGATAACTTACAAGATGCCATAAAGTTAAAATTTTCAATTTCACGTTTTTGGACAACTCTTTTTAATAAATCAAAATAAATATAATAGATGGAGAAAAACTTTTCATACAAAAAACATAGCAAATTAACACGAAAAACATCTCCCATATTCACTTTTATCTCATCGCTAATTCTTGGAAACGTAGAGGATGTAATATTTGAAAATCATGAATTTGGCGTTTTCAACATCAAATTGGGTAATAACTCAAAAATGAATGGAGGTGGGAAAAACTTTTTATACAAAAAAGTACCATATTAACTTGTAGAGTGCGTTTTATAAACGATTTCATCTCATCATTCATTGTTGATAACTTACAAGATGCCATAAAGTTAAAATTTTCAATTTGACGTTTTTGGACAACTCTTTTTAATAAATCAAAATAAATATAATAGATGGAGAAAAACTTTTCATACAAAAAAGATAGCAAATTAACACGAAAAACATCTCCCATATTCATTTTTATCTCATCGCTAATTCTTGGAAATGTAGAGGATGTAATATTTGAAAATCATGAATTTGGCGTTTTCAACATCAAATTGGGTAATAACTCAAAAATGAATGGAGGTGGGAAAAACTTTTTATACAAAAAAGTACCATATTAACTTGTAGAGTGCGTTTTATAAACGATTTCATCTCATCATTCATTGTTGATAACTTACAAGATGCCATAAAGCTAAAATTTTCAATTTGACATTTTTGGACAACTTTTTTTAATAAATCAAAATAAATATAACAGATAGAGAAAAACTTTTCATACAAAAAATATAGTAAATTAATACGAAAAACATCTCCCATATTCACTTTTATCTCATCGCTAATTCTTGGAAACGTAGACTAAGTAATATTTGAAAATCATGAATTTGATGCTTTCAACAATACTTTTTAATAAATCAAAACAAATATGGCAGATGGAGAAAAACTTTTCATACAAAAAACAACGATTTATATCTTAAATAAAAGAATACTTACTTCATCATATTGTTTTTCATGTATTGCCAAAATAGCGCGATAAAAAGCTCCATCTTGAGTCTCCCTAGGAATAACTGTAACGTATTTCTCCATAGAAGTCCAATGATGAATACCCCAAGCTGAAGCAGCCGCTAATCTCCCCGCTTTCTCTTGATTCCCACCCGACAACTCATCAAATTTAGCCTCCGCGATATTATGCAAATCCTCCCATTCCCCCAAAGCTTCCAAACACCTCATTTGCCCTAAAAGAGCTTCCTCATCATAACCCTTACTCATTTTTTCTTCATACAACAACCGAGCTTTATCCCAATTATGCAACTTTTCGTACCACCGCACCTCAATGGGCATATCACCCCCTTTTTGCATCACAAATTGCAATAACCCCTCGGCCGCTTCTTTTTGTTGCAACTTATTATTAATCGAAATTAACGCCTCAACAACTTGGCTATTTGCACCACGTTGAAATTCCTCCTCTTTATAATGAAGTGCTTTCGCGTAAGCCCGACAATCCATCGCTCGTTCACCCAATAATTGCGGCTCTAACGGCAAAGGACCTTTATCGCAATGTTCCATAAATTCGGCTAAATTTAGTATCGTTTGAGTTATCTCGGGGATGTCAGGAACTAAGAGGGCATCTCTTAAATTGTTTATTAATTCTTTTTGCATCGCTTCTGATAATTCGGTCCAACAACTTACGAAGGATGCGTTAAATAGATCCTTTGGGAGTTGGGAGTAAGTTTGAGCGAGTGATTGGCAGGAACGTAAAGCTGGGATTGGGGACTGTTTTAAAAGTTCGATGCTTAAAGTTCGGAGCCATTCTAACCAGTCGTCTCGAGATACTCTCCGGTTAATAGTCCAAGCTAATCGGAGATTATTCGCGTTTACTTTTAAGCGTTGGATCATGGCGGTGTCTGAGGGTAGTCCGGAATCTCGGTGCTTTTTGGCCCGTCTTATTGGGACTTTAAAATCGCTGTCATCGGCTAAGGTTGAATCACTTTGTAGTTGGGCTATTAACATGTCGTAACGTGGGCAGTGTATTTTATGTTTTGCCATTACTTTATGGACGAGGGGGATAAAAATGGTGAATTTTCGCCCTAATTGGGTAACCAAGCTGACTAATGTCTCAATAGCAACTGAACGTAATTCGGGGTTTTGATCGAACGTTCGTATTAAAGGGTGGATAATTCTTGAGATAAAATCGGAGAAGTCTAAATTATCCGCGAGATGATCGATCGTTTCTAAAGCTTGTTTTGAAACTGCCGTCGGGCAATCGGGGGCGTCGAATAATTTAACGATTTGGGGTATAATCAAATGCATGTAATCGTCGACGTTGTTCCCAAATTTCTTTAAAGCCTCCAACATTTTTAACGTAACCACCCTATCTTTCGATGTATCATGATTTAGAACCCTCAAAATTTGCGGCATTAATTTCGGGAGATACACACTAAATTCAGAACCCAAAGCGATTGCAATATGCTCGATTAACACAATTAAAGTCCCTTGAATCGTGCTATTTGGAGTCCAAAATTCTTTGATTAACGCGCAAATATCATCGAGGTAATTCCGAATGTGTTGCTTTACGATTAAAATTAATTGGGCGAGTTGTTGGAATAAATATTCTCTGAAGTTAACATCGGCGGTTCTTACCACGTTTAATAAGCTTGGGAGAACTTGCGAAATATATGGGACGCATTTAATCCCTAAGCTTTTAAATATAAAGATAACGGCTTGAACTACTGTTGTGTGATGTTGCGATAACGTTGGATCTTTTATGATTCTCATTAACGTAGCGATCGACATCGCTAAATAATATTCCTCTAAAGTCGACGAAGACATATTCACCAACATCTCGCTCGTTGTTAAATCGGCGTTGGTATCATCGTTTTTATCGGCTAATGCTATCAAAACGGGAGCTTCCGATTGATAATCGATTTGGCCCCGATTTATTTTGTGTCGATACGGATCCAAAGCCCCTAATAAGCCGAGAACGCGAATCGTTTCGCGGCGAATAAAAGCGTGTTGCTCGGTTTTTAAGAAATTAATTAAGACGTCTAATAAAGCGGGGTATTCTGTATATGGTTGGATTACATGTCCGGTTGCTCCAACTAATTGGCCTAAAGTACACAAAGTTGCGCCGCGTTTTTCGGGGGCTGAGGAATCCCCCAACATCTCCAACAAAATCGTCATTAAATCGCTAGTCCATTCTTGTAGCTCAATCCCTCCTCCTGTAACACTCGCAAGATCCCCTATTGTAACTAAAACGGATAAAACAACACCCGGATTCGGTTCGGATTCTTTTAATTTCGGCACTAAGACTTTTAAAATCGGTTGGATGTAAGGCCGCATTAATCGCGGGGCGTTCACCACTAAATGGTCCAACATTCGCGCACCTTGCTCTTTATTCCTCCCAGTTCCAGAATGTTCCAACTCAGTTAAAAGTTGCACTATCGTTTTTCTTAAAGCGGGCATAATATACGAAGGATTTTTTGTACTCAACCTCCCGATTGTCATCAAAGCAACTTCGCGTATCTCGAAAACTTCGTCGTGTAACGCCACGAATAACATACTTAAAAACTCAACTTGGGCCAAATGCTCGTCGAAAGTTGTATCGAGCGAGTATAAAACCCCTCTTCGTACTTCCGAGTCCGTATCGGTTATTCCAACGACGAGGAGTTTATTTAAAACATCGGCTACTGTTGTCATGACGGTGTCGGAGTATTCTTCTGAGGGGTTATAAATGTTTTGTTTTAAAAGCCTCGAGCATGTTTTAACGGCTTCGAGGCGAATTTCGTGGTTTTCATGCACGATGAAATCATCAGCGCATTTTTGCACTAACTGCAACAAGCTGTGGCCTTCAAAATCAAACGTTCCTAAAGTGTGGAGTGCCAAAACGATGCTACTCGTATCTGGGACGTCTAAAGACGCAGTTTGAGGCAGATGTCGGGGCATCCCCGGGTGCCGCAACGGCTTACTCATCAAAATCTTATACAACATACTTAATAACCCGATACTAATCTGCGATTTCAAATCGGGGACATCTCGTGCTAAATCTTTTAAGCACGAAGTTAACGAAGACGTTAATCCAGTCGCAAACATTTGTTCCAACAAATTTTGAATATCTTTCGTGATATAACTTTTAACAGCGTGGGCTAAAAACGTGATACATTTAAAAACACTCGCGTCCATTGTTAATCTCTTCTTCATGGGGGCCTCGCGATTCGGTAACGACACAGTGATGACTTCCATGATTTTTGGGATAAACGGCTTGATATCATCCTCCACGGCAACCCCAATTAAGCCAATCGCAATAAACGAAGTCGTCCGATCCTTTTCGCGCCCACGAATCGTATTCAACAAATAATTCATCGTGTTGGCAAGATGTTCTTTGACGAAATATTCGCGATTAAAAGCTGCGAGGCGTGGTAAAATCACCAATAAAGATTGTTGGGTGTAACTCAACCGCGATAATCTCATCCCTAACACATCCAAACAAATATACGAATAAGTATCGGTCACTAATTGGCGACAAATCGGGGATTCCACCGTAATAAATTGCGTCGTACTCGGGATTTTCCGATAATGAATCGATTTTTGGTACGGTTTAAAATTGGGTCTCCCAAAATTGATAAAAATCTCATCAGTATCTGTTTTATCAACAACCTCAACCAAACTTTTATATTTACTTTCCCATTTAGCATTCGAAACCCTCACCAATTCGTTCAAAACCAACAAAGCCCCGTGGATCTTATCGTCGCGAAATTTATCGACTTTTTCCGTCGATAACAACTTTTGCGTTTCGTCATAACATTGTTTGTACCATTGCAAACGTTGTTTCCCCGATTCTCTTTGAGCGGTTACAACTAGAGCCGCGCGAAGCGCCTCGACGCCCGCCTCTCGAATTTGAGGCTTCGGATCTTGAATTGCGTTAAAAATCGCTTCGAAAAAACCGCTGACTTGTTGGTAAAAATACGTGGGCATTGTTAAAGCTAATTCTCTTAAAATTAACACGGCGGCGTGTCTTTTACTTTCGACGCGGTCGCCCCCTAACCATTCGAAAGCGCGTTTAACCTCAAAATCGACGTATTCGGAAGCTTTTGAACCAGAAACTAACGCAATCATCCCCATTGATTTAGTGACCATTTGTAATAAACTAACATCGCTTGAGGGGAGCAAATTTCGCAAATAATTCGCGAATCTTGTCACGCGATTCGGGATATTCCCCACGTCCGTTCCAATTAAACATAAAATTGCTAAGATACCTCCTTTTTTCTCGTTAAGATCGTTTGCGGATACCATCTCGAAGATGTGATGATTAAACTCGTCCAGAAACGCGTTGATCTCCTCCTGGGTGGCCTCTCGAAGCTCGCTTTTTAAATACAACGAAAGCTCCTCAGCCGTTTTTAATCGAACATCCGCGTGACGGGATTTTAAACCCGACACAAACTGTTGAGTCGCCGCCGAGGTCATTTTCACTTAAAATTTATTTTAAACACTTCTATTTTATATTAAATAAAGCGATAAATAAAACCATTTTGACGTTGAAAAGTAAGGTTATGTTTATGTCATACTCATTTAGTGAGGTTATGCAACCCAAAATGCAATTAATTATTAAAAATAATTTATTATTTAATAATTAAAAATTGTATTAAATCGTTTTTTAAATACGATAACACATCTTCAATAATAAAGGATACATTTTTGTAGTTGAAAAATAAGGTTATGTTAAATTTTCTTCCAAAGCTGGTATTTTTAACAATCTCAAAGATGTGACAATTAAACTCATCGAGAAGTGCATTAAGCTCGTCTTTTAAACACAACAAAATCTTTATTTATAACAATAAAGGAATAAATAAACCCATTTTGCCCTAAAAGAATAAAGTTATGTTTATGTCATACGCATTTGTGGAGGTTATGCAACCCAAACAGCAATTAATTATTAAAAATAATTTTTTATTATTTAATAATTAAAAATTGTATTAAATCGTTTTTCAAATACGATAATACATCTTCAATAATAAAGGATACATTTTTGTAGTTGAAAAGTAAGGTTATGTTAAGTTTTCTTCCAAAGCTGGTATTTTTAACAATCTCGAATATGTGAAATTAAACTGATCGAGAAATGCGTTAAGCTCGTCTTTTAAACACAACGAAAGCTTTATTTACAACAATAAAGGAATAAATAAGCCCATTTTACCCTAAAAAAATAAAGTTGTTTATGTCATATGCATTTGTGGAGGTTATGCAACCCAATATGCAATTAATTATTATAAATAGTTTTTTATTATTTAATAATTAAAAATTGTATTAAATCGCTTTTTAAATACGATAGAACATCTACAGTAATAAAAGATACATTTTTATCGTTGAAAAGTAAGGTTATATTAAATTTTCTTCTAAAGCTGGTATTTTTAACAATCTCCAAGATCTGACAATTAAACTCATCAAGAAATGCAATAAGCTCGTCTTTTAAACACAACAAAAGCTTTATTTATAACAATAAAGTAATAAATAAACCCATTTTGCCCTAAAAAAATAAAATTATGTTTATGTGACATTTATGGAGATTATGCAACCCAAACAGCAATTAATTATTAAAAATAATTTTTTGTTATTTAATAATTAAAAATTGTAACCTCGTTTTTTAAATACAATAAAACCTCTTCAGTACTAAAAAGATACATTTTTGTTGTTGAAAAGTAAGATTGTGTTAAATTTTCTTCCAAAGCTGGTATTTTTAACAATTTCCAAGATATGACAATTAAACTCATCAAGAAATGCATTAAGCTCGTTTTTTAAACACAACAAAAGCTTTATTTACAACAATAAAGTAATAAATAAACCAATTTTGCCCTAAAAAAAATAAATTTGTTTATGTTATAGGCATTTATGGAGGTTATACAACCCAAACAGCAATTATTAAAAAAAATTTATTATTTAATAATTAAAAATTGAACCTCGCTTTTTAAATACAATAAAACCTCTTCAGTACTAAAAAGATACATTTTCGTTGTTAAAAAGTAAGATTGTCTTAAATTTTCTTCCAAAGCTGGTATTTTTAACAATCTCCAAGATGTGACAATTAAACTCATCAAGAAATGCATTAAGCTCGTCGTTTAAACAAAACAAAAGCTTTATTTACAACAATAAAGTAATAAATAAACCAATTTTGCCCTAAGAAAACAAAATTATGTTTATGTGACAGGCATTTATGGAGGTTATGCAACCCAAACAGCAATTAATTATTAAAAATAATTTATTATTTAATAATTAAAAATTGTAACCTAGCTTCTTAAATACAATAAAACCTCTCTCTTCAGTAATAAAGGATACATTTTTGTCATTGAAACGTAAGGTAATGTTAAATTTTCTTCCAAAGCTGGTATTTTTAACAATCTCGAAGATGTGACAATTAAACTAATCGAGAAATGCATTAATCAACTTTCAAAGCACGTCTTTTAAACACAACAAAAGCTTTACAGCAATAAATAAACCAATTTTGGCCTTGAAAAATAAGGTTATGTTTATATCATACGCATTTATGGAGGTTATGCAACCCAAACAGCATGAATTTTAAAAAAATTTAAATTATTTATTAAATTAATAATTAAAAACGATTATTTATAAGCTCACTTTTTAAATAGAACGAAAGCTCTTTACCAAAAAAATGATAAATAACCCATTTTGACGTTGAAAAATAAGGTTATGTTTATGTCATTTATGGAGGTTATGTAGCAACAATTTATTTATTAAAAATTAAAATAATAATTTTTTTGCATCCACACAACTTTTAATTAACGTTGCCTTCTAATTATTATTTGATGCACGTTTTAATTCAATTCGGGTGTTGATTTTTGATATTTCCGTGCTTTCGTTACCTAAAGTTATATTATTTGTTAATATAAACTAAAATAAAAATAAAACTCATCGAGAAATGCATTAATTAACTCTTTTAAACACAACAAAAGCTTTATAGGAATAAATAAATTAATTTTGTCGTTAAAAAGTAAGGTTTATATGATTTATGGAGGTTATGCAACCAAATCAGCAATAATTTATTTATTAAATATTAAAATAATTATCTTTTTTTGCATTCACACAACTTTTAATTAACGTCGCCTTATAATTATTATTTGAAACACGTTTTAATTCGATTCGGGAGTTGATGCGGTGAAAAAAATTATCGCCCAAAGCTGGTATTTTTGTTATTTCTTTGCTTTCGTTCCCTAAAGTTATGTTATTTGTTAATATAATCTAAAATAATAACAAAATTTTATTTTAATATAATCAATTTAGCTTAGATTTACCGCAAATCCGTGTTGGTCCCCTAATTTTTGTAAATCTGAAAGAAGAGTGAATAAAAACCCTCTTCTATCCTCGAAATTTATTTCTTCAGCTAAAATTGTTAAGGAATCGATAATTATTAAGCGAATTTTTTTCGTTTTTAATAATCTCTTTAAGTGTATAACAACGGCGATTAATTCTGCGTAATGATTGAGTTGAATGTGGGTTATTTTTGATAACATTTCTTTGATGGTTAAATTAAAGTCGCTTAAACCCGCGTTGTTGAACCTATTTATTGTTTCTAAAGCGATTTCTTCAACTCGACTTTTTGAAAAGTTATAATTAGTACAAATATACAAAGATTCCCCATCTCTTCCTCCAAAAAGCGTCGGTAATTGGACATTTACGCATAATCTTAAACAAATTTGAGTTTTTCCACTACCACTTTCACCATATAACTCGATTATATTCCCAGAAACTATTTCCTCAGATAAAATAGAATCCAATCCGGGTAAAAAAGTGAATATTGTGCCAAAATTTGATTGTTCGATGTAAAGATCAAAAGCTGTTTTGGTTTTTGGTGGTTTTGTGATATTTTTAAACTCTTCATCTTCAAAATACTTTTTTAGTGAATCTTTGTTGGTTAAATAGTGATATCCCAAGGATTTTAAATCATTTAAGCGATTTTCTTCGATATTTAAAGAACTTAAGGGTTGTTCCATTGCCTAAAATGAAATTGATGTAATTTGGGTTGCATATATATCAAGTTTTATCTTTAAAATTTTAATTATTTACTTGAAAAACGTTAAAGGCGTAAAATATTTGTGATAAAAACTAAAATTTGTTGTTATTAACGTTCAAGGTTATTTGCAAAATCATCAATTAGATAGTAATAAGTGAACAGGAAATGACTAATTTAATTTTTTTATTCTTTTTTAATCAATTTTTATTAACACTACTAAAAAAGCAACAAATTTCTCTTATTCACATAATTATTTAAAATTAAATAATTGAGGTTGAGCTTGTGTAACTGTGCGAACCTAGCAAAGTGGTTTTGAAATACTCGAGTACCAGATAAACGTTATAAAAACGCCAAAAGCGGTGATTTCCAAGTTTAGAAGTGACATTTTAATTATTTTACAAGTACCAGTGACGTTTATAAACGTTTATAAACGAAATTTTATTCATTTTACTCCAAAAACACCTTTATTTGAACGAATTTAAAACTTGAAGAACTAAATGGCTTCTTGTGAAGTTTGCAGCTGCTCAAAGGGCGTTGAAAAAGAAAAAATTATTAACTTTGACTGCTTAGGTTAGTAAAAAAATTGTTTATGATGAATTTGTTACATTTTTTCTAATTTTTGTAGCTCCAGAAATACAAAAATTACTTAAACAAGCATCAGACGTTCGTCAAAAAGCTTATTGTCCTTACAGTAAGTTTAAAGTTGGTGCATCTGTTTTATGTGAAAACGGGAAAACTTACACAGGATGTAACGTTGAAAACGTCTCATTTACTGTAGGGATATGTGCTGAAAGAAACGCTTATTCAACAGCGATCAGCGAAGGTAATAAGAAGTTTAAAGCTGTGGCTGTTGTTGCAAGACAAGAAGACGACTTCACCACTCCTTGCGGCGCTTGTAGACAATTTTTGAGAGAATTCGGTGACGTCGATGTTTATTGTGCTAATCCTGATATGGAAAAGGTGTTTGTTACAAATGTCCAAGGTCTTTTACCATACGCTTTTACAAGTTTATAATAGAAAATAGAAATTATATTAAAAGTGGGTTTCATTTTTATGTATTAATATAAATATAAAAGATACTTACTAAAATAAATTTAATTCTTTAATTTGTTGTCAGTGACGTTAACATAACCTATATTTCTTAAGACTACTAATTCGTTAATTCATTAATAAGCAAAATTTAATTTTTGGATTTTATATTAATTAAATTATAAAAAGAATTAATACGTTTTAATACCATTTTAATAAATAAATATAAATAAATTAAAATTTATTCATTAATCATTAACTAACTTCACTCTATTTTCGGTTTGTTGTGATTCAGTGTTTGACAGTTTTAAAAATGGTTTAAAAATTTAAAGTTTTAATCGTAAATATTTCATTAAAAATTACTTTCCGATTCCTAAATTCCGTCTAATTCGTTTTCAGGTGTGCCGAATTAAAATTTGCCATAACTTTCCAATGGTGAGATGTCTTCCGGGAAATGGAGTAAATGAATTTGACATAACCTCAACAAAAAGGTAGGATTAAATTGAAATTAAGTGGAGTGGTAATTACATAAATTCTGCTGTAATGTAATCAGTTTTATATTTAAGTGGGTGAAGAAATTTATCACTTAACTATCTCCTCGTCCTCTGCACATAGTTGGCGTTCCACATTGTCAGCTAGGCTCAACAATTTGAGGTGTGTCTTTAATCGGTAATGCCCAGTAAAGACAACTATGCTTTAATGCTGCTATGAGCAAGTCCTAAAATATTCCCGAGATTGACATAAACAACTTGGCATGTTTCATTCCAGGAGAACTAGTTCACAATAGGCAAAGTCTCTCTTTAGCCCACAGTCCAATCCTATGTTTGGCCATCACAAATGATAGTTCTGGCCCCACAACCGCTTTAGCGCTGCTTTCTCATGCTACCTGATCTATCACTTCATTGCCAGGAAACTCAGAGTGACCCCAGAATGCTCATGCTGCCAACTTGTGATGTTTCAAGACAAGACAGCTCATTCTGCCACCAATTTGGCAGCTTATAAGGCGTAGAATTGATGTTTCAAGATAAAACAGCTCATGCTACCAACAAATAAGCAGAGTTTAGAAAGCTGAATGGCAGTCTAGATGTAGAAAAGCTCATGATGCCAACAAGTTGGCAGCTTATAAGATGCTGAATTGATGTCTCAAGATAAGACAGCTCATGCTGCCAACAAGTTGGTAGACTTTAGAAGACAAAATGAAAGTCTAGATGTAGAAAAGCTCATGCTACCAACAATTTAGCAGCTTATAAGCTGTAGAATTGATGTTTCAAGATAAGACAGCTCATGCTGCCAATAAGTTGGCAGCTTATAAGATGCTGAATTGATGTCTCAAAATAAGACAGCTCATGCTGCCAACAAGTTGGCAAACTTTAAAACACAGAATGGAAGTCTAGATGTAGAAAAGCTCATGCTGTCAACAAGTTGGCAGACCTTAGAAAACAGAATGGAAGTCTAGATGTAGAAAAGCTCAAGTTGGCAGCTTATAAGATGCTGAATTGATGTCTCAAGATAAGACAGCTCATGCTGCCAACAAGTTGGCTGACTTTAGAAAACAGAATGGAAGTCTAGATGTAGAAAAGCTCATGCTGCCAACAAGTTGGCAGACTTTAGAAAACAGCATGGAAGTCTAGATGTAGAAAAGCTCATGCTGCCAACAAGTTGGCAAGTAATGCTTTGGCTGCGTGCTATTAATATTATTTTTAATTTCGTCAGCTTTTCGAACTATATTATAGGTTAGGTGGTAGAGCTGTCTCCCGACTGAACCTCGCCTATTAAGTAAATTATGTTAATTCAAGTGTATTGTTGTTGTACGCAAAATAAAGGCCTTTATTATTATTATTATAATTAAGTTGGCAGTTTATAAGATGTTGAATTGATGTCTCAAGATAAGACAGCTCATGCTGCCAACAAGTTGGCAGATTTTAGATAACAGAATTTAAGTCTAGATGTAGAAAAGCTCATGCTGCCAACAAGTTGGCAGCTTATAAGATGCTGAATTGATGTCTCAAGATAAAACAGCTCATGCTACCATCAAGTAGGCAGAGTTTAGAAAACACAATGGAAGTCTAGATATAGAAAAGCTCATGCTGCCAACAAGTTGGCAGCTTATAAGATGCAGAATTGATGTTTCAAAACAAGACAGCTCATGCTGCCAACAAGTTGGCAGCTTATAAAATGTAGAATTGATGTCATAAGATAAGACAGCTCATGCTGCCAACAAGTTGTCAGACTTTAGATAATAGAATGGAATTTTACAGTACATTTAACCGTCTCACACCGCTAAATCAAATAATACTAAAATTCAAAATATACCACTGTTATAGATCACTGCAATTTAACGTACGTTTTGTCATATAGATGGCGTTTGTATATTCTTATAGAAACGTATAATGCGTTCGGGTATAAGAATGGATCTCGTTAACAATTGCAAGCAGTTTGAATAAGTAAGAAGCCCGAGTTGGACGAGAGATAGAACATCAACGTACATGGATGAAGTTGGAAAATGAAGATATAGTTTCTGTAGAAACTAAATTGCGCCCTTTTTAGGGTTTGGTCTCGCAAGAGACAGCAGCTGATCGGCGGAAATGCCGATTTTGAGAAAGGACGTTGCATCGTGCGGGTGCTCCTAGCATGGGGTGGCCACCACTTACCTGGAGCAGGTATTAAGCACCTTCCCGGCCGCGTAATACCGGTAAGTGTCGAACCACCTATAAATCCTCACATCTCCCTCCCATGTCCAGTAATGCCTGCTCGGCTCTCTCCCCACGTTGGAATCGTCAGGTTTGTTACTCCGCGACCCTCGGGTAAGGATGCTGTTCTGCCCATGCCATTGGTCCGGCGGCTCGGATAGCGATGCCGCTCTGGGATTAGTCACTCTTTGATATAAAAGAACGCAGTTCAACAGCACTATTACCATACCAACTTTGGATTCTGATCGGCCGGCCACGCCCACTATTGAGCTGAGGTGGGGACCAGGACTATATAATAGGGGAAAGTTTCAGCTCGAGCAAAGACTAAAAAGCTAACCTCAAGGTCCATTGTGTATTGGTTATAAAGTGGCCAACTTGAACAAATTGACGTTGACGGGGTGATGTAGGAAACGTGACGTCATTGGAGGAAAAGTATAATATAATATACAGGCACAGAATAACCAGAAATGACAGTGAGTCCGTCTAGACAAAATCGGGCCTTGTGAATCGCCATTTTATTGGAGTTTATTTTGAGCTAATATCACATCGGTTTATTATTTACTAATAAAAGTTTGACATATTGACTCCAACGTAAAGTCTATTTGTGATATATACATAAGTTTATGTATAAGTACGTGTATCTCAAATAATTAAATACTGTTTCTTATCATTAACTGTTTGGGTAAATTACTAAGAACGTGTAATTCTGTCCTTAAAATTATCAATAACGATGGATTAAAAAAATTTGTATTGCAATTCTACTTTTATATATAAATTGTGTATATAGGGTGACATAGAAAAAAGTACATTGCATAGTGCCACACAATAGAGGACGCTAAAATAAGAAAAAAAAGTTCCTATGAACATGGGTCCGCAAGGTCTACGGTTAAAAGATACGGGGTGTTGAATTTTATTTTTTTTTGTTTTTTTTTTTAATATCTTTAGCCAGAGACGCAAAAAATGGATAAAATGTGGTATACAGGGGTTTTTTATCATGGTAAATTCAAATATAATCTTGGTTTTGTGATTACTGATGGAGAGCGCTACATACATACAGGGTGCCATCTCTATTGAATCGGTCATCATACTAATAAAATTTTATTGTGGAAGTATTTATCATCGTTTTTGCAAATAAATAAAAAAAAATTAAAATTCAACACCCCGTATCTTTTAACCGTAGGCCTTGCGGACCCATGTTCATAGGAACTTTGTGTGTCCTCTATTGTGTGGCACTATGCAATGTACTTTTTTCTATGTCACCCTGTATATTATATTATTAAATAATAGTATAAACACAAAAAAAATGCTGTGTATAAATAATTCTTTTACGATACAAATTTGAGCGTGTGAACCTGTATTATAAACTCCAATAAAATGGCTGAAACAGTGGAGCCATACATGGCGCCAAAGCATCGAGGTCCCAAACTCGCCAATCTAAAACATCAAACGTTCCGACAAAGCTGTCAGTTCTGGTTATTCTGTGATACAGGTGTCCATTATGTATGGAATATAGTATATATATCTTGGTAAGCATCAACAATGTATCCTTTCGTTAGGCTCATTTGATAGAGATTTGTTTTCTCTTTACGATGGCGTAAAATTTTAGTACTCTTACATCAAAAAATTTTTGAAAAAAATTTAACTAATAACATGAATCTAGATGAATCTAAAAGCTCCTGTTTATAAGCTCCAACTTGTTGGCAGCTTATAAGATGCTGAATTGATGTTTCAAAACAATACAGCTCATGCTGCCAACAAGTTGGCAGACTTTAAAAAACAGAATGGAAGTCTAGATGTAGAAAATCTCCTGCTGCCAACAAGTTGGCAGCTTATAACATGTAGAATTGATGTTTCAAGACAAGACAGCTCATGCTGCCAACAAGTTGGCAGACTTTAAAAAACAGAATGGAAGTCTAGATGTAGAAAAGCTCATGCAGCCAACAAGTTGGCAGCTTATAACATGCAGAATTGATGTTTTAAGACTAGACAGCTCATGCTGCCAACAAGTTGGCAGCTTATAAGGTTTAGAATTGATGTCACAAGATAAGACAGCTCATGCTGCCAACAAGTTGGCAGCTTATAAGATGTAGAATTGATGTCACAAGATAAGACAGCTCATGCTGCCAACAAGTTGGCACTTTAAAAAATAGAATGGAAGTCTAGATGTAGAAAAGGTCATGCTGCCAACAAGTTGGCAGCTTATAAGGTTTAGAATTGATGTCACAAGATAAGACAGCTCATGCTGCCAACAAGTTGGCAGCTGATAAGATGTAGAATTGATGTCACAAGATAAGACACCTCACGCTGCCAACAAGTTGGCAGACTTTAAAAAATAGAATGGAAGTCTAGATGTAGAAAAGCTCATGCTGCCAACAAGTTGGCAGCTTATAAGGTTTAGAATTGATGTCACAAGATAAGACAGCTCATGCTGCCAACAAGTTGGCAGCTTATAAGATGTAGAATTGATGTCACAAGATAAGACAGCTCATGCTGCCAACAAGTTGGCAGCTTATAAGATGTAGAATTGATATCACAAGCTAAGACAGCTCATGCTGCCAACAAGTTGGCAGCTTTTAAGATGTAGAATTGATGTTTCAAAACAAGACAGCTCACGCTGCCAACAAGTTGGCAGACTTTAAAAAATAGAATGGAAGTCTAGATGTAGAAAAGCTCATGCTGCCAACAAGTTGGCAGCTTATAAGATGCTGAATTGATGTCTCAAGATAAGACAGCTCATACTGCCAACAAGTTGGCAGCTTATAAGATGTAGAATTGATATCACAAGCTAAGACAGCTCATGCTGCCAACAAGTTGGCAGTTTATAAGATATAGAATTGATGTCACAAGATAAGACAGCTCATGCTGCCAACAAGTTGGCACTTTAAAAAATAGAATGGAAGTCTAGATGTAGAAAAGGTCATGCTGCCAACAAGTTGGCAGCTTATAAGGTTTAGAATTGATGTCACAAGATAAGACAGCTCATGCTGCCAACAAGTTGGCAGCTTATAAGATGTAGAATTGATGTCACAAGATAAGACAGCTCATGCTGCCAACAAGTTGGCAGCTTATAAGATTTAGAATTGATGTCACAAGATAAGACAGCTCATGCTGCCAACAAGTTGGCAGCTTATAAGATGTAGAATTGATGTCACAAGATAAGACAGCTCATGCTGCCAACAAGTTGGCAGCTTATAAGATGTAGAATTGATGTCACAAGCTAAGACAGCTCATGCTGCCAACAAGTTGGCAGCTTTTAAGATGTAGAATTGATGTTTCAAAATAAGACAGCTCACGCTGCCAACAAGTTGGCAGACTTTAAAAAATAGAATGGAAGTCTAGATGTAGAAAAGCTCATGCTGCCAACAAGTTGGCAGCTTATAAGGTTTAGAATTGATGTCACAAGATAAGACAGCTCATGCTGCCAACAAGTTGGCAGCTTATAAGATGTAGAATTGATGTCACAAGATAAGACAGCTCATGCTGCCAACAAGTTGGCAGCTTATAAGATGTAGAATTGATGTCACAAGATAAGACAGCTCATGCTGCCAACAAGTTGGCAGCTTATAAGATGTAGAATTGATGTCACAAGATAAGACAGCTCATGCTGCCAACAAGTTGGCAGCTTATAAGATGTAGAATTGATGTCACAAGATAAGACAGCTCATGCTGCCAACAAGTTGGCAGCTTATAAGATGTAGAATTGATGTCACAAGATAAGACAGCTCATGCTGCCAACAAGTTGGCAGCTTATAAGATGTAGAATTGATGTCACAAGATAAGACAGCTCATGCTGCCAACAAGTTGGCAGCTTATAAGATGTAGAATTGATGTCACAAGATAAGACAGCTCATGCTGCCAACAAGTTGGCAGCTTATAAGATGTAGAATTGATGTCACAAGATAAGACAGCTCATGCTGCCAACAAGTTGGCAGCTTATAAGATGTAGAATTGATGTCACAAGATAATACAGCTCATGCTGCCAACAAGTTGGCAGCTTATAAGATGTAAAATTGACGTCACAAGATAAGACAGCTCATGCTGCCAACAAGTTGGCAGCTTATAAAATGTAGAATTGACGTCACAAGATAAGACAGCTCATGCTGCCAACAAGTTGGCAACTTATAAGATGTAGAATGGATATCACAAGCTAAGACAGCTCACGCTGCCAACAAGTTGGCAGACTTTAAAAAACAGAATGGAAGTCTAGATGTAGAAAAGCTCATGCTGCCAACAAGTTGGCAGCTTATAACATGCAGAATTGATGTTTCAAGACAAGACAGCTCATGCTGCCAATAAGTTGGCAGCTTATAAGATGCAGAATTGATGCCTTAAGATAAGACAGCTCATGCTGCCAACAAGTTGGCAGCCTTTAGATTGCAGAATGAAAGTTTAGATGTAGAAAAGCTCATGCTGCCAACAAGTTGGCAGCTTATAACATGCAGAATTGTGGTCTAGAAGAGATTAGTGATTTCATAGAGGTCGTTTAGAGAAGTTGGTTTAATAATAAGAGATTCACAAAGAAAAATCGTTTATTTTCGAATTAATTATAATCTAAGTAAAGCATTTATAATGGAATATATTTAAATTTACTCTTTTTAATTTCTATTATGTACAAAAAAAATGGATAGTTATTTAATCGAGATATTAACTACATAAATCTTAATATTAATCCTAAAAAATATGTTGAACTTGATAAATTATTGCGAATAAATTAAGAGCGGTTACGTAAAAAAAAGTTAAGTTGATCAACAAAATGATAAAGCGAAAATTTCCAAGTTCCTCGCAAAAAAGTATATGGTAATGGAATATTCCTACCTATTTAGCCAGTCTGATCCTTGTATCAAGGGAAATCAAAACCTTAGAGAAGAGAAAAACCGCAAAACACTCAATAAAAGAATACAAACGTATTAAAAAATATATATAAACAATACAGACAAAATTATAACTATGCGGAAATAGCCATTATTATTATTGAATTGATTTCTTTTTAGTTTTCTTGTTAAAAATGAGTTGGGATGCTTATTATTTATTTAGTAGACGGGGAAAACCTTCCTCTTCCGGTGAGTTTGGACCTTAAAATAACAAAATAAATGCGTTAAGATTGAAAATGGGATAAACAAATTTCTTTTTTAAATATAAAAATTTTACCTCCTTAAATCCGCAAAATCTCTATTATACCCGTGACGACATTGACCTAGCTCAGCTTCAAGCTTCTGAAAACGAAAATTACGTCATAATTAAAATGAGCTATTCTAAAATGTATTAAAAGAAAATGAATGACTCAACACACATCCAAGAAATTAAATTATAAAGACAAATTTACACCAAAATTAAACCAATTACACCAAAGAGTTCTTTCATGATCTAATTTATTTGAAAATCGAAAGCTTGCACCATGAAGCGTTTTTTCTTATTACCTTGATGTTGCGTCCCCCACGGACGTTGCGACTTTACCGACGATTGTCGGTGAGCAAACTGTACATTTGACACGTCCACATTGTTCGCAGAGAAACCGAGACAACTGCAAAGCAAACCACCATGCAGCATGCTAACAAATTAAACGATAACACAAGAAAAAAAAATCTAATAATACATCAATAATTGAATAATTGAAATTGTGGGGAAACTAAAACCTTTATCTAACTAAACCCAGAGTGACGAAATAATAAGATTTATCTACGATACACAATTTCTACTCTAAGTTAAATTAAAAGAAACTTACTCCAACTTTTCGGATTATATCACCAACGATATTCAAAGCTAAAATTCTTGAAGATGGGGAAAGAGATGCATCAATCACGTTTGCTTCACCTAAACACACAAAAAATTATCGTAACTATACGAAAATAAGTATTGTTTAATAACAATTAGTTGAAAACATCACAAGGAATACAAAAAAATTTATATATAAAAATTCAAGAATCATCATGTGGCTTTAAATCGACCCAAAAAACACGTTCAAAATAAAAAGAAAGTTAAAGTTTCGATGTGACGTCATGTTTTGTGACGTACATATAATTACGGATGAAGCACTCTTGTTTTTATTAGGCTTTCGATGCATAATTACCTGTCGTTAGATAGACTGTGTATTAATACTAGACCTAACAATAGACCGAAAACTAGAAACATTCGGATTTAGCTCCACGTCTCTCAAGACGGGTAAACCCGAATGATTCTAGTTCTAGGTCTTCCTGTCAACCTCAATTTTGACATATTCGTAATCTTCATTAAAAAACCTTTAAAATGAGTACAAACACGACATATTTATCTTCAATATTAATGAAGTTATGGTCAACTTCCGGTTAGAAATGTCAACGTCAATTTTGACATATTTGTAAAATTAAGGTTGGTATTAATATTTAAAAATTAAATTGCTATCTTCGGGTTTAATGTTTTTTATTCTAATTTTTTTGTTTTTTGAGGTTAATGCGTCATGTTTGGACTCATTTTAAACGTTATTTTATAAAGATTACGAATATAATAACTATAATATATTAATAATATTTGAGTTAGCTTAATATATAACAACTAATATATTAACCTAACTCAAAGTGGAATTTCTACACAAAATTCTGAAATAAATCAGTAAATTAGGTGGATCCGAATGTTACGTTTAAAGATAAAAAAGATATGTCGCATTTGGGTGACAAAGAATCGAGTGTTGTAGCAGCAATTTTTAAATCTGTAATGGAAGGGACACAGAAAGATATCACTGAACAGAAGAATAGTTTCAGTAATTAGTCTTCAGCCAGTAGTATTGTAATCTCCAAGCACTTGGTAGTGTTTTGGCAGCAGTATATAATCTTCAGAAAGCATTAAATAGTCTTTGCCAACAATATCTAACTTTCTCCAAGCAATTAGTGATCTTTCCAAAAATATTTTACATTCTGAAAGTAGTTAATAGTCTTTTGGAAACAGTATCTTGTCTTTCCAAGTAGATAATAGTTTCTTGCAGTAATATTTAGTCTTGTCCACGCAGGTCCTAATTGTTTCTAGTAGTATATAGCGCTCTGAAAGCAGTAAGTAGTCTTATGGAAGCAGTATCTCATCTTTCCAATCAGTTTGTAGCTGTTTGTTAGCACTATCTACTCTTCTCCAATCAGATTGTAATCTTTTCCACCAGTATCTAGCATTTTGGAAACAGTAGGTATCTTTTTTGGAGAGGATATCTCTTCTTTCCAAGCAGTTATTAGTCTTTTCCAGTAGTATCTAACATCCTGGAAGCATTAGGTAGCTTTTTGGAAAGCATATCTCTTTTCCAAACAATTATTAAAGTCTTTGAAAGCAATAAGTAGTCTTGGAAGCAGTATTTTACCTGTTCAAGTAGGTCAAAACCTATTTTGAAAACAGTATCTAGTCTTTTCCAAGTAAGTTGTTGTCTTATTCTGCAGTATCTAGCATTTTAGAAGCAGTAGGTAACTTTTTGAAATAGTATTTCCTCTTTCCAAGGTGTTTTTAGTCTTTTCTAGCAGTATTTAATCTTCTGATAGCAATAATTAGTCTTTTGCCAACAATATCTAGTTCTCTCCAAGCAATTAATAGTTTTTCCAACAATATTTAGCATTCTGAAAGTAGTTAATAGTCTTTTGGAAACAGTATCTTATCTTTACAAGCAGATAATAGTTTCTTTCAGCAATATTTAGTTTTCTCCAAGCAGGTCTTAATCATTCCTTATAGTATACAGGTGTCCCGAAACTCAAATTCAAGCGGGCACTGGGTGAGAGGCCAACCCATACCTGTTCTGGTAAAAATAAGAAAAAAAGAATGCATGTTACTTAGTTAAGTGCTATTTGACATATTTTTGAAAATCTGCACATCTTCTAACAAAGTTGTTAAATTATTTTGGAGGAAATACAAATAGCATACGAAAGTATGAATTTTCTAAATTACATGTTTTTTTGCAGAAAAACAGGCAATATTTTTTTTATGTAAACAAAAATGGCAAGTGTTGTGCTATTTTAGAAACTTGACTAATCAGGCCATCTTTTAAAATTACTTGCCAAGGGTTCTGTACTATTTTTTTTTTAGAAATTCTATGTCAAACTTAGTAGACATAAATCTTTCAACCTAAAACTAACCACTTTTGTTGTCTGATTTGTGACTTCTACAGTAGCATGGTTAATCATTATTAAAAAAATCACTATTTAATCGCGAACATTTCTGACCTTAGTACCTAAAGATATGACTCTATGGGAACGATTTTTAACATTTTCAAAGATATGTCTATTACCACTTAGCTAAGAGACATGGAATTTTTTTTCTTATTTTTCCCAGAACAGGTATGGGTTGGCCTCTCACCCAGTATCCGTTTGACGTTGAGTTTCGGGACAGCCTGTATAATCTTCTGAAAGCATTAAATACTTTTTGCCAACAATATCTAGCTTTCCCCAAGAAATTAGTAGTTTTTCCATCAATATTAAGCATTCTGAAAATAGTTAATAGTCTTTTGGAAATAGTATCTTGTTTTTCCAAGCAGATAATAGTTTCTTCCAGCAATATTTAGACTTCTCCAAGCAGGTCCTAATCTTTTCTAGTAGAATATAGCGCTCTGAAAGCAGTAGTCTTATGGAAGTAATATCTCGTCTTTCCAATCAGTTTGTAGTTGTTTGTTAGCACTATCTAGTCTTCTCTAAGCAGATTGTATAATTCTTGATCTTTTCCAGCTAGTTATTAGTCTATTCCAGCAGTATCTAACATTCTGGAAACATTAGATAGCTTTTTGGAAAGCATATCTCTTTTCCAAACAATTATTAAAGTCTTTGAAAGCAATAAGTAGTCTTGGAAACAATATCTAGTCTTTTCCAAGTAATGTTGTAACGCAATAAAACTATGTGTTTTTTTAGAAGATGGATGTTTTTTATTTTAACCTCTACCGGTTTCAATTTCTAGTTGCAATCATCTTCAGGAGCTAGCCACGTCAATAAATAATATTCTCAAAGACATAATCTTTTTTGTATGTAATGGTATTGTCACTTTTTTTTGTTTCGTTTCTTCTGGATGTCTTATTTTGTGGTCGATTCTTTAATGTTGTTAATTTAGTTCGGCCATTATTGTTTTAGCCATGTGTTCTTTTTGAGGTTATGATGAATAAGACATCCAGAAATTATAATAATTTTTTTTCCAAGTAAGTTGTTGTCTTTTTCCGCAGTATGTAGCATTTTAGAAACAGTAGGCAACTTTTTGAAATAGTATTTCCTCTTTCCAAGCAATTTTTAGTCTTTTTCTAGCAGGATTTAATCTTCTGAAAGCATTAAATAGTCTTTCCAACAACATTTAGCATTCTGAAAATAGTTAATAGTCTTTTGGAAACAGTATCTTGTCTTTCCAAGCAAATAATAGTTTCTCCCAGCAATATTTAGTCTTCTCCAAGCAGATCCTAATCTTTTCTAGTAGTATATAGCACTCTGAAAGCAGCAAGTAGTCTTATGAAGCAGTATCTCATCTTTCCAATCAGTTTGTAGTTGTTTGTTAGCACTATTTAGTCTTCTCCAAGCAGATCCTAATCTTTTCTAGTAGTATATAGCACTCTGAAAGCAGCAAGTAGTCTTATGGAAGCAGTATCTCGTCTTTCCAATCAGTTTGTAGTTGTTTGTTAGCACTATCTAGTCTTCTCCAAGCAGATTGTAATCTTTTCCACCAGTATCTAGCATTTTGGAAACAGTAGGTACCTTTTTTGAAGAGGATATCTCTACTTTCTAAGTAGTTGTTAGACTATTCCAGCAGTATCTAACATTCTGGAAGCAGTAGGTACCTTTTTGGAAAGCATATGTCATTTCCAAACAATTATTCGTGTCTTTGAAAGCAATAAGTAGTCTTGGAAGCAGTATTCCGCCTCTCCAAGTAGGCCAAAACCTTTAACAGCAGTGTTTAGCGTTCTGGAAGCAATAGGTATTATTTTGAAAACAGTATCTAGTCTTTTCCAAGTAAGTTGTAGTCTTTTTCTGCAGTATTTAGCATTTTAGAAGCAGTAGGTAACTTTTTGAAATAGTATTTCCTCTTTCCAAGCAGTTTTTAGTCTTTTTCTAGCAGTATTTAATCTTCTGATAGCAATAATTAGTCTTTTGCCAACAGTATCTAGCTTTCTTCAAGCGATTAGTAGTCTTTCCAACAATATTTAACATTCTGTAAGTAGTTAATAGTCTTTTGGAAACAGTATCTTGTCTTTCCAAGCAGATAATAGTTTCTCCCAGCAATATTTAGTCTTCTCCAAGCAGATCCTAATCTTTTCTAGTAGTATATAGCACTCTGAAAGCAGCAAGTAGTCTTATGGAAGCAGTATCGCCTTTCCAATCAGTTTGTAGTTGTTTGTTAGCACTATCTAGTCTTTTCAAAGCAGATTGTAATTTTTTCCACCAGTACATAGCATTTTAGAAGCGGTAGGTAACTTTTTGAAATAGTATTTCCTCTTTCTAAACAGTTTTTAGTCTTTTTCTAGCATTATTTAATCTTCTAATAGCAATAATTAGTTTTTTGCCAATAGTATCTACCTTTCTACAAGCAATTAGTAGTCTTTCCAACAATATTTAGCATTTTGAAAATAGTTAATAGTCTTTTGGAAACAGTATTTTGTCTTTCCAAGCAGATAATAGTTTCTCCCAGCAATATTAGTCTTCTCCAAGCAGATCCTAATCTTTTCTAGTAGTATATAGCGCTCTGAAAGCATTAAGTAGTCTTATGGGAGCAGTATTTCGTCTTTCCAATCAGTTTGTAGTTGTTTGTTAACACTATCTAGTGTCTCCAAGCAGATTGTAATCTTTTCCACCAGTATCTAACATTCTGGAAGCAGTAGGTAACTTTTTGGAAAGCATATCTCTTTTCCAAACAATTATTAAAGTC